TCTTCTTTATCCATTGGCCATAGGGAAGAGTCTTGACAAAAATCCCATAAAGGAGAGGCCATTATTTGGCATGAAAAATTGCAATTCCCTTCAGACAATTCAATATCTTTCCATATTTCATCCATGTCTACCTCAAAATAATCACTCTTCTTATCAATATTATTGGCTAGCACGTTGCGGCCTCCAGTATTGTAAAAACTATGCTTGTTCTCCGTGATTGGAGTGAATTCGACAGTAGGGCTATTCGATGAGAATGACGAAGAAGATGATGATGGTGATATATTTTTCTTCTTCTCTAGTGCCTTTTTCCTCATATGGGTTCTCCAATAGTTCTTGATCTCGTTATCCGTACGACCCGGTAATTTTCGAGCAATTTTTGACCATCTGCGCACAATTATGTTATATGTTACATTCAAGGGCAAAATCTTTAAAACTTTTTTCACAAGGTAACAAAAATTTATATGTAACTGCAATAATACATCAAAGTTGAACCCAAAACTTACACCTTCTGCAAGAAAACAATGTTGATCACTTTGTTTAGAGAATAACCCAAAAAAGATTAAACTAGATATTAACTAGTCTAAAAGCTATAATGAGCAATCAGATTCTAAGATGAGACAGAGAGAGATCGGATGTAAAAACTTCAGACCTATTTCCCCATTTGGAGTGAAGTTCGAGAACGAGGCGTTCTTCATGGGGGGTCATCTTGCCTCTTTTAAGATCAGGATTCAGATAATTAACCCAACGTAATCTGCAACTTTTTCCAGATCTTTTCAAACCTACAAAGAAAATTATATATGTGGAATATTGTTAAACTATCGGGTTCCTAGGAAGTACTATGGCATGCCCAAATAATCCTACCTAGTATTTTTGTCTCCCGCCACCTTCAAACCTGAAATTTTTGCTATGAAATCCCATCGGCGATCCCCTAATAAGTTTACATAAAATACAAGCTGAGCATCTTCTTGTTCAGTCCATGGACCTTTTTTTGTTCCTTCGTAAACCATTTTTTTTTTCTCTCGACTCTCTGTCTTATCCTTTTTCCTAAGTGACTCAACTAGCTACTTTGGATACTATGGCTGTCCTGGCTACTTGTATATATATATATATATATACACACACGCACACATATAGAGATAAACACACCCGCACTACTGCACTGGGGATTTCTAAATGTAGGGTATGTTACTATATCAGTACTGTTTGATAATTCTTTTATATGAAATTTACAATTATTGTGTGACTTTGATTTCACCCTCAATATTGTTGAACAGTCTCATTTAAAAGATTAAATAATTAAATAAAATACATTTAGTCTCTGTTTGGAAAGGATTTAGAAAATAATATTTAATAAATAGATATAAATTAGTGATGGATAAGTAGATACTATCTACGAGTTCATTAAAAAATTGAAGTCTTGTCGCTATTCATTTATGAAAATATTATATGTCATATCTTCGATATAACATATCTTCGTATTATCATTAACCATTTCATTTAAAGATAAAGCATACATTACATGTATTTGAACTTTACATGGAACTTGCTGGTGATGGTTCGATGGTAGGACAACTTGGCTATTAAGTGCTTTAGATGCAAGCCATTATTAAGTGCTTTAGATAAGTGATTGATATGTCGATGTTACTTTCATATTGCCACTGACCTGCTCATTTGTCCTTGTGCGGCTGCCATCCAGATATAGAGAAACCAAATTGGACTTTTTATTGCCTGTAAATGAAGATTTTGAGAAATAAAAATTAATTGTACAATCCATTTTTCTTTCTCTTGAGAAATAAAATCTTTATATCGGGTTCTTTTTTAGAGTTCTCGACTCGACTTTACTATGATTCTAGATTAAAATTTGGAAATAAGTCTCGAGAAATTTATTCAGTTTTCAAACGAAAAAAAACAAAAAAATCATGTACTCAGCATATAAACGAAAATTCTAGAAGCATTTTTCTCTTTTGTAAGTATTGGCAAAGGATTTCAAAACCAACTCAATATTATCCTAAGTTCGTATAGAGTTAAGAAAGAACTCGAATAGTTTTTGTTTTATGTATGAACAATTTTTTTTAATAAATCGAAATCAATCAAGAATGTCAAAAACATTTTTTTGTAGAATATTCATATCAATATTCAATGGACAAAAGAAATTGTAACTTATTATAATATCAAACAAAAACCAAAATCTTAAAAATTTCAAAGTTCTTATCTTTTATTAATGTTGGGTGATCAAAAGTAGTAACATAAAGAATCACAAGAAGAAAGGGTCCTTTAGGGTTTGCTTGGATTTATATATTTGTAAGGAAAAAGTTAATTTTATTACTAGTTTTAACTAAATATTCTTTAATTTTATTTATTTTTTTCCTTTTCAAAAACAAAAACACAAGGATTTGACATGTATAGAAAATTGTTTATTAATTAGAAATGAAAATAATATATATGATAAGAGATATTTAGAAGTGGGATATGGCATCATGTATGATCAAATTCTCTAGTGACTTAAGAACATTAGGTTTTTGTATATGGACCCAAATAATTAAATTAAAATTAAAAACTAATTGGAATTGGATGGTGGCTACTTGCTTGAGGGGCTTTTTTGGTGACCAAGAAGATTAACGAAAATGTTGTGGATGGCACTAGTTTTATGGCCACTTGCACTTAAAATATATCAAATAAAGTATATATTCTCTACAAAAATAATGAGTACTTGTATTGGAATAAGCCTTTCTCTAAAAGCACTCTATTAATTAAATTATAACAATTTAATTCACTTACAACAAATTATTAATATTAAGTGGGTCTTTGGTGCGGATTAAAATTAGATTTTTAATTGAATATGATAGAAGTTTTTGAAATGTGTGGTTGAAAAGCTAAGAGACCCATGAAAGATGTGGTTAATATTTTTTGTTTGACTTTGACTTAAATTAAAATCTGATTTTAATCCGAAATAAACAGGCTTAAATTAACGATTAATTGTCCAGCTATAAACGAAACACGCACGTCTAACTAATTATAGTTTAAAAGAATGAATAATTATATTAACTAGTCAAGTTTTCATTCTTCTTTCAACGTGGGAATTATTCCCTTAAATTGAATAAAGACACTAATAATATGTTTCATAAAGGCACTCCAAGACTTATTTCAAATCAGCCAAACATGTTTTTAGGTTAATGATTCAACACTAGTCTCCTCATGTCGAGAATCATCTCTTAATTGAGAGTCGAGATATATCGTCTCGAACTTACTGTTCTCTTAGTTGTGTGACGCGCCTTACCATATAGCTCATTCCTAGTAAATGGAAAGATGTCAACACATTTTTTGACTCTTCGACGCATACCCCGATGTCTTTCCATTTGCTAAGAAGAGGTGATGAATTGATGTATCAAAAATATATAAAGAGGATAGAAGACCTAAACTCCTTAATTATACATGTGACCCACTCAAATTGTTAGTTTAATTAGGTTGAAAACCTTTTAGAAATTTATTAAATTCCAATAAATAGTACTACTTTCAATTTTATGAGAATGAACCAACTCAACCAAGAATCTATAAATATACTATCCACTTTTTCCCTAAAACATATACGTTTTATCTGGCGCATAGCGGGATATTATCACCACTTTGTCTAAAAGATGTAGCTCATGGAAGAGGTGCAACCCCACCCTATATAATAAAAAGTGAGTTTCAAAAATTTACCCTAAATCCACTCCCTTTGGGGAAATCCTTGTTTGTTTTAAGCGTGCTCTTGCATTATACAACCACTAAGAGAAAATTCTTGAGTATTAACTTCATAACGGGTCATTTTGCTCGAATATTGCCTTGACTTCACAAAAGCTATAGCTAATGGAGTAGGAACAATCCAACATATATTGGTCGGAATCAAGTGTCGGAATCCACTTCAAACCCGCTATTTAGGCTAACTCATTTCAAACATACTTTTGCATTACTAATAAAATTGATAAGTTCAAGATTACGAAGTCAAAGAAAAGATTCAAGATACACAAGCTTCTTATGCTATCAATATTCTGTTTTATTTAATATGGAGCCATCATTTTTTGTAAATCTTCTCGGCCAAATATATTATCCAACATGATAAGATAATAAATTGCTGGATAATGCCACGAACTTGATCCCCTCATTGAAAATGTAGTGGCAAGAATATGAATGAAAATGACTTCATTTGTTTTTTATGGCACAGTACACATGCACTAGCTATCGGTGGTGGTAGAAAAGATTGATTATTTTCTTGTATGAGAGGTCCGAATTGATTGAGTGTGGAAATCATTAAAATAATGAAACAAAAAAGTGGGATCAAAAGTTTTCCTTAGTTTAAGATCACTAATTTGATTAATCATTGTTTGAGTTTTTGTTAGTGAGCTTTGAATACTGGTTATAGCAATAGGTGGAGAGTGGTGTAGGGCCC